TTGACTTGATCCTCCATGGCGGTAAATTCAAATTTGATACGCTTAAGCCAACTTAAGATACGACGATATCGCCTCTGTAGTGTTTCGTGGAACACTCACTACAACGAGGGGAGGTACTCACTACAACGACGGGAGGTACAGTTCCCCGTTGCCAGCGTAAGCCTTTCCTTTCCAGGTTGGCGCAGTTTATCGGGGCGGGTGGTTCGGCTCAACTCTGTACACATCAATCCGAGGTGTCATTTGGTTGTGCTGTGGCGCCAATGTGTTCGATCGACGTATGAGGTTTCCTCGGATTCAGGCCGGTGGGGGGCGATTGATTTTATCATCTCATGCATGCCTCTCCACCCGATCGATTGTCGTGGATTGCATGATCACCACTCGATCTCGTCGTGGTGACCTCCACGGCCAACGACCGTTTTCGCTTGACGGCTACTTCAAGCATCTCCGCGACGAGCTTCATCACATCCCACTACTTGATATTGACGACCAAATGGAATTTTAAAGAATGCCCAAAGATTCATATGTATTTTAAATATGTGTTTAATATCACATGGAGCTACAACTAAACGTGGTCGGCACAACGACATGACGACACATGAAAAACTGACAAGGGATTTTGTACTAGAACTTTGTATTCTGGTCTCCTGAAGTAGTTTGTCGCCAGCTGGCGCCCTAGTCGGCGGATGCGCCAGTCGAATCGCTGACTTGACCAGACTCGGGTTTTCCTCACTCAAGGCACATGCGCTCGACGACGTTGGTATTAATGTGCATCGCGCTGCTCTTGGCAGTGTTCGCGTCGGCTGACACTCACATTCGCCATGGCAAAAATGCCGTGGCTCAAGACCCTCAAGGCCGCCACGCTCAGCAATACTCGCCGCAACATGGCAACGGTGGCGCGTACGTCGCGAGGCGCCAGAACTTCTTTCGCAACGTGGGCAACACGTTTCGTAGCATTGGCCACCATGTCAAGCAAAAAGTACAGAAGGTCGCCAACTGGGGCCGAAATGTTGGCCAACACATCAACCGCGGCGTCCAAACTGCCCAGCGATGGATCGGACGCGGCCAGCAAGTCATGGACACGGTCCATCGCGGCAAAGGACTGATCCAACAGGTCGGCGGGTTCTTTGGGCGTGGGTTGCGAGACGGCCAGTCGAAAGACAACGAGTAGGACAGCGCTGCTAGAACAGTATTTGAATGTCATGTACTGTTGATGAAATTTGCTTGTACATCTAAGGCCTTCAGATGCCAAGTTGGAATTGCAGATTCACCACGCCATGGTTTGTTAGCGCTTCTTCAGCACTGGTGTAAGGTATCAAGCAGGAAGGTTTCCAAGGAATGTCATTCTGCATCGTTAACTTGCTATATACATCGACGAGTGCTGTGTGTTAGCCCCAATCGAACATACATGAGCTACATAGCAGGGCTCGTAGAGCTCATTTGCTCGAGTTCAAAGCAAATAAAAACCCCACTGAGGTTGTGAGCCTGAGATTACCGCAGAGTCACAAAAGTCGCCCAACAACGCGGTGATGGAGTACGTGCAATTGATGTCTCATGTCCATGTCTGGTAAAGGTATGTTCGCAACTGCACACTCGTTCATCGCACATGGCTGTCTCAGCAGGTTGATCGCCTTGACACCGTAAGCAACTCGTTTTGGGTTCCTTCGTCAGACATGCACGCTACTTGTGTCGTTTCGGGGTTTGTCCTTGGCAAGCTGACGACGGCGGTCGCCAACCACAAGCGTTGACGCAGTACACGGAGTTGACGACGGGGAGCTAGAGTACCACGAACACCGCGGCCTTGCCATGCACGAGTCCTTCCTCCAAGCTACAGGGAACGACGGAAATCCTTCCCCGTATGCACTAGTCGTTGCGGAATCCGTTCGTCACCAAGTTCATCTACTCATCGCCTTCTGCGTGAAGATGGTGGAGCGTAGTGTTGCTGCTGGTCTATTTCAGTGTCTAGGAACAGATATCCATCGAGGCCATTAAACGACGAAAGGGGACCCCCACCGTGTTGGCATGGTGTCAATACCGGTCAGTCATGAGGAGGAAGCAGAGGCGACTTTTAGTTCTATGCTTTCAGCACAAAGTCCATCGGAACGTCCACAATGTACTGCCGACGG